CTCCTCTCCTGAAGCCACGCTCCCGGTTGTGCTCGCCAGAGCAGACAGCAAAGAGCAAACCTCGCCCTGGCTCTCAGCACTGATCCTGCCCTTGTTGTTGTTAATTTAGCCGTGTGCTGGAATGGGTTTTAAAAAGTGCCTTTTCTTCTGCCCCTGTGGTGCCTCACCCGGGGCATGGGGGGACTCTGTGAGCTCCCTTGCTGGTTGCTGGTTTGGGGCTCAGCTGCTCCCTTCACTCCCATTCAGGTGGGCAGCTCTTGGCAGCCCCTTGGTGCAAGGTGGGATGGACAGCCCCCCGCAAGCAGTGTGCTGGGGGCCTAGCATCAGCCCTATGTGAGTTTGGCAGGTGAGGACCATGCTGAGCATCCCTGTGCAGTGGGTATGCAATGGGCTAAAGTCCCACCTCTGCTGGTGGGCAGAGCAGCATCCCCATATCCCCCATTCTCAAGGGCTGGTGATAAAGGCATTTATACCAAGCAGTGGGGGCCATGGGCCCGCTGGACCACCCAGAGGCTCTGCCTGGGGGTATGGGGCAGGGAGAGCCCCAGGCGAAGGGATTAGGACTGGGGGACAGAGGCTGCTCCTGGGGGTGGCCCCGCTTGTCCGGTGTCTCCAGCACTGGCTGCAGCAGCTCATCTTTGTGTGAGGTCCTCCACAGGGGACAGCAGGGACCTGGTAGTGCTGCCACAGCCCTGGCCATGCTCATGTTGGCGAGGTGATGAAGCTGCTGTGCAGTGGGGGGATCTGCCCTGGGCTGCCCCTGCCAGGGCAAGCACCTTGCTGGTACAGAGCAGCCCTGATCCTTACACCCCCCAGACAAAGAAGCAGCCCAGCCCTCTGAGAGGGGCAGATGATGTTCCTTGGGGATGGCCGGAGATGCCCAGATGATCTCCAACACCCAGCACAGCCCTGGGGCTGGCCTGGGCAGCATGAGCACAGGCAGTGTGATGAGTGTGCTGGTGCTCAGCAGGCAGGATGCTGGTGGTAAGCTCACTAGATGGCAGCAGCTCTTCTTCCAAAGGGCTGGAAGGTGCTGCACAGCCCAGGCAGAAACAGAGGCACACCAGGACCAGACCTCGTGTTTCTCTTGGGTATTGTTTTATGGAGGGAAAGCCAGGATCTTATTTACTTCTTGATGTGTTTGTAGGGATGCTCACCTCTGGGACCTGAAATGGATCCTTGATGTGGTGGAGGCACCCTGGCCTGGTGGGAGCAGTGGATTTCCATTGCCTTCAAGCTTTGCCATCGCCTGTGGGTGCTCATGCAATGCCACAACAGCGTAAGTTATCCTGAACATCCCTAAAACACTTGATGCCTTTCCTAGATCCCCACCGACCAGAATGATGTGAAGGGTTTTTTTTGCGGGGTTTATTTTATCCCCGTGTTTCCGGCTGCCCTGGGGATGGGGGGATGCTCCGTGTACAGTTCAGATGCACGGCAAAGAGCTGCCAGACGGGCTCTGGGGCAGCCCAGCTCGCTGTAGCTGGCGGGATGGTCCGAGTGTGCACTCTGACGTGTGTTGGGTTGTTGTAGGATGCTGCAGACAGGCGCTGCCGACTCCTGAGCGGGAACATACAAGTGGATGGCTGGTGCCTGTCCGAGACGTTTGTGTTAATCAGTGATTATGCAGATCAACAGCTCTGGCAGTGCTGCAGCTCCTCTGCCGTGACACTCGGCACGTGTGCCCCATGGAAGTGCCTCCTCCAGGAGGTGCAAACCTCCTTGATTCCATTTGCAGGACCTGCTGTGAAGAGCAGATTAAACGCAGCCCATGGCCAGCCAGGGGAAGGCCTGAGCCCCTCGAGGCCCCCCCAGTCTGCCCGCCACCGCCTCTCCCCTTTCCCCATGTGGCTTGAATTACTGTGGCTGTTTGCTTAATCCATCAGGCTTCAAGAATGAGGCACTTGGTGCTTTCTTGGCCTCTCCAGCAAAGCACTGTGCCGTAAACATAACAAGGCAGGCTTGTTCCGAGCCCTTGAAGTCAACAAGCAGTGCTCCTCCTGCCCTTTGGGACCAAGCTGCTGCTAAATATAGCCAGGGATGCTTTCCATTCATAAAACGTGAACTATACTCCAGCTTCCAAGGGAAGGGAGTGGGTTGAGGAGTCCGTGGGCTCCAGCCTCTCCTGTGTGGGACGCAGGCAGAAAGAAGCTGGAAATCCTTGGCCCCATCCTTTCGCTACCCTCCAGTTCTTCCCCAGGGAGATGGGGAGAAAATGCTTTTGGGGGTGATATGCGGGATTGATCCAGGTTGATTGCAGAGTTTTCTTGCATCTCATCCTCAGTTACGTTATGGCCAGGGTGGATTTGCTGGGGAGGTGAGCACAGGGAATGGTAAGCATGGGCTGACAGGATGGCCCAAGCAACTGCCGCACCTGAACAGGAGCAATAAGGCCTCATACCACTGCTGCCAGCACCTGAGTGCACTGGGACTTGCCTCCTGCTTGAGGCACTTGCTCCCCTTTGAACACCCTTCACGTGGTTCCCTTTCCTCCGTGCTCCAGCCCTTTCCTCCACCAGCCTTCCGCTGTTTGCATGTGCTGTAATATTCCCCCTGAGTCTCTCCTCCAGCAGCTGCTGCTCCAGATGCACACAGATGTGTCTGCAACAGTCTTTCACCCTCTGTGACGTTCCTCTTTTGCAGAAGAAGGAACCCCATCTCCTGGTGGAGTTGAGGGAGGAGCTGCCCACTGGAAAGCCCTGTGTTAGGACCCCAGACATCCAAGCTCCTATGGGAGCCAGGGCCATGCATGAACTGCAGAGGAAGAAGACCAAGGCACCGGGCACCCCTGTGCATCTTCATGCTGGATGGTGCAAGGCCGTTGGTCCCCTGCAGCCCCGAATTCAGCATCTGGAGCTGTGGCTGTCAGTCTGTGCAGTGCCAGCACCCAAACCACACTGGTAAGCTGGGCAATGAGCCAAGGATGCCCATGCGTGGGTCCTGGGGCACTCTGCTTCCCCTGCTCCCTACCTTCGAGTTCAGTGTGGGTTGAACAGCTCTGTGGGTTTGGCAGTTGGGTTGTTTCAAAACCCAGCTCCAGGCTGCCAAACCAGCAGGTTTCCAGGTACACCACAGGCCTTTTGATGCCTCGGAGATCTAAAGTCTAAATAAAACTTTAAGACCCACTCTGTGTAACGCTCAGGTCTGGCTTCAAGAAACCTGGCTTCTTTTTATGGCATCTTTAGATCAGCAGTTTCCTGCTGGTGCCAGCACTGCAGTTTCTGTGTGTGAATAAGTGTGTAAAACAACAGAGCTCAGCAGAGCCACAGCAGTAGGAAGGGGCTGGGTTTCACACTGAAGGGTTCTTTTCTCTCTTTTTTTTCCCTTTTCCTTTTGAAATAACCCCATTTAGGCCTCCAATAAAAAACCAAAACATCTGTTACTGGGTATTTGGCTGCTGGAAATCATCTCCCCATTACTGAAAAGCAAAGAAGCAGTGCAGGGATTCCTGGTATAGATCAATAGCACATAAGGTCGCATTCATACATCATCCCTGTCCATCCTGACCTTTGAATATATGGACTGGGGACATCAAGGGAGCTGTGATGCTCTGTGCCACCACAGGAGGTAAATCATGAAGGCTAGTAAAGAGGCAATTGAATCTGTAAAGAGTCCTTCAAGCCTGATTTATTGATGCTCTCATGTGAGATCTCCGCAGGGTGAGATGCTGCCAGGAAGAAGAAACAAGTCAACAAATCACAGGAACATGGTGGGTATTTGATGCATGGGGAGGACCCTTTGGTGGGGCCACCTTGAGCCCCGGATGGGAAACCCCAGTATGGCTCAGGGCTGCTTCCCCTTTCCCCAGGCCAAGCCTCTGCCTGCCCAGCTTGCTAGCTCTGCATGAAAAGGTGGAAGTTGGTCCTGGTGAACTCCTGATGGATGCTGTCAAGTAATTTGTCTGAGTCTTGGGGGACATCCGAGAGGACCTGCTGCCCTGGGATGAAGCTCTGCTCTGGGGTGTAGGTGAACGTGAAGGAGCTGGAGTAGATGAGGCCATCATCCCTGATCAGGAGGAGTGGGACCGTGATGGGGTATCGCAGCCACCTCCAGTCACTGCCAAAGGCAGAGACATCAGGCACAACACACAAGAGGGACTTGGGGCTCCTGGGACAGCACAGGAGAGGAAAATGTGTTAACTGAGGAGGGTTGCATGCAGGAGTGGCTGGCAGCGAGTGTCAGCACATCTCCTCTAGCCTGGAGCTCATTGTGAAGCCTCCAACCAGTTTCCCCTCTCCTCCCCAGTGTTTTGTGCTGCTCTGCCAGGGTCGCTTGGTTACTTGCAGCCCCCTGAGGTCCCTGTCATTGCCCCCACATCACTACCCTGACTGCAGCCAGGGCAGAGAACAGGCACCAGCCAGACTCATCCCTGCCTCTCCTCGCAATGCCCGTGCTTGGTCTTGCAGAACACGCAGCGTGAATACCCCTGTCCCCAAGGTCAGCAGCCATGTCCCTCCCAGAGCTGCCCAGCACAGCCCAAACCTGGCTGCCATTCCCTGCCTGCTCCCTGGCCACATTACCTGTACATTGTCTCTGCTTCTACATCTCCGAACCAGACCTTGAGGTGTGCATGGAAATACTCCCCCTGTACCTCCAGCATGGCCACGTCCCCACCACCTGTGAGCTGTGATGAGCAGAGTGCACAGCAGTGAGTTACATGGTAGAATAAGGCAGACTGCTGCTCCCACAGGATGCTCAGCCTGTGCATCCCGTCCCTGCTGTACATCCTGCAGCAGCCCAGACCTGGGCATTCGCACAGCATCCCGATAGCAGGAGACTGCGGGTGCAAGGGCTCAGAAGCAGGAGCTGTGATGGAAGCAGGTGATGGAGAGGTGGGGTGACCCCATGGCTGGTGCTGTACCTACCTGCAGGGCAGTGATGAGCGGCACGGGGCTGACAGGCTCACGGATGCAGGCCAGGCTCTCGCTGAAGGTGTACTCCACTGTCTCGGTGCCGATGATGGTCCAGCAGGAGCCGTCGTTCAACAGCTCCCGGTTGGCTTCCTTCGGGCAGGGAGATGCCTGTGGAGAGTTCACAGCACCTCACTGCAGTGGGGACTGGGGCCAGGGTTCTGCCCCTGGCATCTCAGTTCCAGCAAGCGACCGCTTCCCTCACTAGGAAATGGGGATCCTGATGCTGTTGGAAAGACTTTGGTGACAATGTCCCACTGAAGCAGGCAACCCAGGGGCAAACGGCTTTGCAGCAATTCTGACCTTAATTTGGATGCAAACCCCCTTCGCTGGAAGACCCCTCCTGGTAACATGTTCCCCAGCCAGCAGCAACACAGAGGAGCTTGGAGAGAGGACAGGAAGCACCACAGGACTCCTCATCCCCTCCTCATGCTGCCGTACCTGGAACTGGATCACTTTCTCTGTGGAAAGACACAGATACATGCGGTCGCTACCCTGGAACTGGAAGGCGCATTTGTGGAGCTGGGAGATGGGCTCGTCCACGTCCAGCATGGCATACTGCTTCATCACCTTCCGGATGATCTGTGGGCAGCAGCAGCATCCCTGGGATGGTACCTGACACTCAGAGCAGCCAGGTCCTCGTGCCTGACACCCACAGGGACAGAGGCTTGACACAGATACATGCGGTCGCTACCCTGGAACTGGAAGGCGCATTTGTGGAGCTGGGAGATGGGCTCGTCCACGTCCAGCATGGCATACTGCTTCATCACCTTCCGGATGATCTGTGGGCAGCAGCAGCATCCCTGGGATGGTACCTGACACTCAGAGCAGCCAGGTCCTCGTGCCTGACACCCACAGGGACAGAGGCTTACCAGGGGCGGCAGGGTGATGCCAGTGGCCGGGCGATGCCGTGCAGACCAGCTGGACCACGGAGCCGTAGCGGATGTACCCTTCCCGCAGGGGAAACTCGCTCCGGGTGCAGTACTCATCGGCTGTGGGGAAGGAGAGGCAGTGACTGCCCTGAACGGGGGAGCAGGTTAACCTGGGCTGCCTCACTATGTGCTGTGCTGGTGCTTTCTTACTGCTTTCTCCCCTCTGCAGGTGCTGACTGCTTGGAGAGGCCGCTGCTCCCTGGGACCCCAGCACAGGAGAGTGCGACTGGGATGTGGTACCTCAGAGGGACACCACTCGATGTAGTGTGGGTAGGGATGCTGCTGGGCTCTGGCCTCTTCCAGGCAAGTTACTTGGTGAACCTCCAGACCAACACAGCTCTTGCTGACCCCACGGCCTGTGTGCCCTCAGGGCATGATGCCAACCCTCAAAGCCAGTGGGAAACAGCCATCAGCTCCAGAGACACACCAGGAACACTAGGCAGAAGTGAGACCTGAGCCAGGTTCCCACATTCCTAGGCTAACTCCTACCAGTTTTGCTCCCAGGAACCAGCTTTGCAGGATGGAAGGGAGGCAGCTCTAGGCATGGCCAGCATCGGCGGCCCCATGAGGCTTCTTACCCAGGTGGAGGGTGAAGGCTGCCCACTGCCTGGCACTGGCGATGAAGGCTCCCCCTTCAACAGAGAGGTAGCGGGTGCTGACGGTCTGGGAGCGCAGGTCGGTTGAAGAGGTAGACTTTGGAGCCTGAGGAGATGCAGACTGCAGGGAGGGGTGCGTGGGTTGGTGCTTGACACGTCTGTGTGTGGCTTCACCTATGGCTTTGTCCAGCCAGGGGAGGACAAGTCCAGCCCCGTGTACTGGTGTCCCCGACCTGGCAGGAGCCAGCATCCTCCCTGGCTGCCCTTCTCTGTATGTGAGTGCCAGCCCAGTTGGGCTTTTCAAAGGTGTGGGGAGCATGCTAGCACTAGGGCATTACACATGGTGGTGGGTGAACTGTTTGGAAAGGACACATCAATATGTCCACATACATCCTCTTTTGGGGGTGTCCATGGGCTTTGGATTCGGCCTGGACCGAAGCTGTGAGCACTTGGACAGCATCCCACCCTGTGCTCAAGCCTTCATCCCTGCAGAGCCATCCCCATACGCACGGTCTGTGTTCTTCAGTGACTGCTTCTTCTGAGAGGGCTTGGAGATGACCTTGATCAGTTTGCTGTGGAAGGTGCCGATCTCTTGCCCGTTGCTGAAGAAGAGCTTCAGGACCAGGCGGAAATGCTTGCGCTTGTCCGCGTCCGAGATGTAGAGTGCCTTGGCACAGCCAAATCCCTGCCAAGGGCAGAGAGGGGCTGCTGGCAGCTCCAGCCCAGCCCCACCAGCCCACAGGGGCATAATAGCGCCCTTTCAAAGAGCCCTGGGTTCATTTAACGGGGAAAACAACTGGAGATGTTATTACAGGTGGAATGAAGAGCTGCGGATCGGCAGAGGTTTTATTTACACTGGGGGCAGAGAATTCCTCATGGAAATGAATGTTCACGTGTGATTTATCCCACATAACATGAGAAATCACCCTGGGTTTATGGTTTCCCCCCCTCCCCGGTCCTGGCTGATACACTGTGCTTTAGCAGCAACGCAAGCACTGCAGACAAAGGCTCTTTTTGTAAGGTTTCTGGCCCGACTCAGACCCCGCGCTCTTCAGGGACCCCAGATAATGCTTTTTCTTCTATTTTTTACTCTATCAAAAGATGCCAGAGCTCTGCTGAAGCTCTTGAACTTTGGGATCAGTCAGTGGGGGTGTTTTTGACTGTTTATCTGCAAATGAAACCCTGGGTTTCCATTTTGTGATAAGCAGCAATGCTGCTCATGGGGAGAATGTCCCAGGGCTGAGGGAGCTGTGCAGACTTTGGCAGCTCACCTGCCATAGGGCTGTTGACCTGACAAGATGGAGCTAAAGAAAGACAGGGCTCTTTGGAAGGCGAGGGAGCCTGCCCAGCTGCTTGGCTTGCTGCATGCAACAGGGTGGCAGAGCGGGAGCTGGGAGTGATGGCTGGGAAGGAAGGACCGCTACATCCCAAGGAAGGGGATGATGTGACATCCCAGGGTGTGGGGTGATGCTGGGGACAGCCCAACCCCTGTGTGAGTGGGGTCCCCCCAGCCCCAGGGAGCAGAGGGTTTTACCTTTGCATCTGGCTGCTCCTCAAAGCTGAGCTTCTGGGTCTCCATCAGGCTGCTGCCCATGCTGTCCAGCCCCATGTACCCGCACACCTGAAAACCTGCATCTCCTGGGTCCCTGGCTGGAAGAGATCAGGAAAAGCACCCTCCAGAACCCACACAGGTATGGGCTTGGTTCCTCTTGGTGTGGTGGGTGGCCCAGGTCCAGCCCTCCCTGGGTCTGAAGGCACCACAGATGGGGAAAGAGGAATTTTGGAGGGCAAAGCTAAAATAAAGTGGGTCACACTCCCCTTTTGCAGGTGGAGGGCAGCTCTCTGTGGTGTGGGAAGGGAGGGAGAAGAGGTCCAGGGCTGCTGCCCAGTGCTTACCTTTCATCTGTTCCTGTTTTAACTTCCATCCTGGCCCGCTCAGGTAAACGCAAGGTGGGGGGCAGAAAAACCTGTGGAGACAAGAGGTCATTTTCTTACCCGGAAAAGCTGCTCGGGGGCAGCAGGATGGCTGCGAGAGTGGGGACTGGCATCAGGAACAAGCCTGTGCCCTGGGAGGTAGGTGATGCTACAGCAAGGGGCTGGGGTGCGGGGAACCGGGCTCTGCTGAAGCAGTTGTCTCAGCCCCTCTGCCCTGCACCGGCTGCAGCCCATGAGACAGCCCCCAGTGGGGAGGACACAGCGCCCTGGCCCCCCATGCCCTGAGCCAAAGAGGGATCAGGCCCCCTGCCTCTGCCAGGTGGGGTTTTGGCTGGTTGGGAACACAGTTTGCATTCACAGCTAGATTCGGAGCCCAACACAAATAAATCTACAGCCAGGGTTTTGGAAACCTATTTTCCTGTGTTTTATTTGGGTTTCCACTGTCTTTACACTTGTGTGAATGGTGCAAATTCATCCCCTATTGATACTGTATAAAGCACTAGCAGAGAAAACACGAGGGCAGGGGGCTGGATTTTTCAGAGCCCCGAAGTCCTGGGTATGGGTTTATTTAAACAAGTCCTCCACAGCATGGGCCCCTGATTCCCACCATGAAGGAAAACAGCACCAGCACCTTTAAACTTTAACCTGGCAGCTCTGTGCTGGTTTTCTCTCCCTCCCCAGACCTGGCATTTGATTTTCATGTTCATCCCTTGCTCTCTAGGAGCAGGAGAAAGAGGCTGTCCCAGAGAAGCAGCAGCATGGGGACTTCCCTCCTGGATGGAAGGCCCAGTCCTGAAATAAAACATTTACCTATGGACCATCAGGACACTGAAAGGGATGAGGACTTTCTAGGCACAGCCAGCCCAGCCTAGAACTGTCTCCTGGGGCCTGGGTGGGCTATGCCTTAGAGGTAGAGCTCGGTGCCTCAGAACTACTTCACACTCAGTAATAACAGAGGTTTATTTATATCACAAGGATTAATGGAGAATTAATTATATTGCAGTGCCACAGTCTGACGTCACTGCCCAGGAGCAGCAATTTGGGAGATTCAAGCAGAACCTCAAGGTGTTTTTGCAGCATGAGCAGGATTTTCAAAAATAGCAGCTTTTTGGAGACCATGGGCATTGATGGAAATGCCCCAGTCCCTGCTGCAGCCCTTCAGAGTTTATTCAAGTTTTCCAGAGCACTTAAACATGAACCTTTCCTCCTCTCCATCTTTGTAATTTCATTCTTGGGGTGTAAGATCTGAATAGTACCTTTCCTTCTTTTACTTCAAATTTCTGATCTCCAGCGCTTCATGGGAGGAACCTAACCACTGGGAATGTCTAACTGGGATGGATGTGGTTGGGGATTAACATCCCTCTTGTGTTGTTCAGTAAGACTGAATTATGGTTTTGGATGCAAAGAGGTTGTGAGTGGCTGGGGAGGGGATATGTCAAGTCAATTGCTTAGATCAGAGAAATCTAGCAAGGCTGATGGCTTTAGGCAGCTGGCTTGGAAGTGGCTATCGGAGAAGCTGGAATGATGTCCCACCTTTTCTCGTTGCCGTATGACTTCTGTGCAACTTTGGCGTGCAGTATCAGCACTGTCTGGTCTGCTGGCAGCTGCAGGTACCTCCGCACACCGTCTCGAAGCAGGTTGGTTTGGTAGGAGTTGGATCTACAAGACAGTGGTGCCCCAGCACTGTAACACCAGAACTGGGGTCCCTGTCTTGCCCTACCAGCCCTATACTTGGAGCCCCCTCTTTGTACAGCCAGAAGGTGGGAAGATTTTCTCATTGGAAAAAACTGGAGCTCAGCTGCCCTAAGACGGGGATTGGCACCGAAAAACATCAAGTTTGGATAACTGAGTAACTGCTTCATCAGTTTTCCATCCAACACGCTATGTTAACAGCTCAGAAACATGCACTTCTAAGGCTTCCAGTCTCACACAGTGGTGGCAGTGCTCAAATCGATCATTAATTTGGTTTTCCACCTGATGTGCTTGTTGCTGTGTGGCTTTTTGGTGAGCTGGGCAATGATGCTGCTGAGCCATGAGTGCAGCTGGGGAGCTGTCACGCAAGGAGGAGCTGCTCGTTGGCTTCGGCAAGGGCTGTTGGGTGAAAATAGCTGTGTTTTTCTCCGAGGCTGACTAAGTAGGTGGTTTTGCTGATTGTTTCTGCTCTATTAACTAGAAGGAGTTCCCATGCACCCGGCATTTAACTCTGTTAACTCAGTAGGTTGGGCGTTAACTGGCTAGAGAGAGGCGAGGTGGGTCCAAGCCCATGGGTCCCACTGCTCTGCCACGTGGGACATGTCTGCAAGATCTGAGGCATGAGAGGGGAGGGATCATGAGCCCCTCAACCCCTGGAGTACCTTTGGTTGGATAATAGGAAACCAGAAGCAAAGGAAGAGGTGCTGCAAGCTCCTCCTTGGCACGTCTACCAGTGTTTGGGATGTGGTAGCTGGGCACACTCAGGAAATTCCTCCTAGCAAGGGGACCCAATGTGACTGGTTGTGTAAAGGTCTTGACTTAAGCCTGAGTTCACCTCTCTCATGCACTGAGCTCCTTTGCCTTTCTGCAAAGGGATGTTTGTGCCTGCTGGTATTTGGACAACAGCTCTGTGTTTCTGCTCTGCATGGCCAGAGGACATTTTTTGGACCCACCTGGATGAGCATCAGACCCAAACCAGGTCCAGCATCCTCAGGAGAGAAAAAGCTCTATGGAAACTGACTTCAGGCTCTGGCTCTTCACTCTCCTGCTGAGGATCACTCAGAACCTCTCCACATAGTAGTGGCCTTGCATTGGAGACAGAGAGAAGCAGCAGTGCCCAGAGAAGGCTGTGAAGCCACAGCTGCAAACACATTGCTGAGCGACTGGGAGAAAGCAGCCAGGGACTGCGGGATCACTCAGAGGAGACGTGGTGAGGACAGGGGGCATCAGCCATGGCCAACCCAGGGATAATCTTGCAAGAGGTACGAAGTGGAGCATCCCCATCAAAAGCAGTCTCTCTTCCTCTTAAATGGACTAGAAATGGAGAATAATTGAGGACTTTAAACAATCAGATGTGTGAAGAGACACAGATCTAGTCCTGCCAGGCACCCCAAGGCAGGTGGTGGTGAGACCTCGCTGGGCTCAGAGGCCAGAGCAAGCTCCCAGGGACAGGAGTGGCAGCAGTCATTGCAAGCAGCCTGTGAGAAGAGTTCACCTGCCAATTCTGTTCTTCCCAGTGCAACACGTATTTTATAAAGGCTGTGCCCTGTGCAGCTCCTAGGACCCGTGTTACAATTCATGCTAAACACACCCCCCTTCACTTCCAGCTTTCCCATGTTGTGGATGGAGCTGATGTTCTCCTGTTTGTATGTGGAAGACAAACACATCTCACGTACAAACAAATATTTACCCAGTGTCTCCTATGGGTAGTCCCGCTGGGACCTGACACTTTGCACTTCACACATTTTCCCATCAGTGCTGGGTTCAGTTATTAGATGGGTGATAAAATTTCCTGCCCTGCTTGTTCTCAATTCTTTACCCCAGACGTGTTAGCTGGATCCCCAGCAAGCATAAATCAATAGAGCTCTGCCAAAATCTGATTTACAGCCGGTGCCAGTGTCACCCACTGCATTAGCTGCCGCTCCATGTCTGGGAAATGAATGTTTTATGGCCATGGCAAGCCTGTTCCTGACTGCAGAGCATGTGCTGCAACTGAGCTCTGCTTGGAGCCCAGGGCTGCTGCCAGTGCATGGCTCTGGGCTCAGCCACAGCTCACCCCGGTCAGCATTCATGGCAAGGCAGAAGGGGCAACTTTTCCAGATAGACCCTCAGATCACCCTTAACAGGTCTCAGATAGACCATCAGATTGCCTTTACCAGCTCCCATGCCAAGGCTGGATCTGTTCCCTCCACTCCTTCATCATAGGGCTGAGACACTCCTGCTCCAGCATTGCTGAAGCTGGGCTTTACCAACCACTATCCCACCAGTGTCCACTTCAGGGTGAGTTACTCAGTTGCTGAAAAGCTTCACCTCCACTTTTCTATCTACTGAAGGGTTTATATCTTTGCACAGCCAAGGAATCCCATAAGAAAGTTACTCAATCTTTTTCCATAATGGCAATCTGCAGCTGTCTCACTCATCACTGCCAAGCAATAATGTGATTTCAGCTTTGATCTGCCTTTGCTGTTTTCCCCTTCATCTAAAAGCCCCATTTGGGAGCCTCTCTGCAAAAATATTCTTTTTTTTTTTTTTTTTTTTTACAGAACCACTGGTTATGATCAGGATAAATGTGGAAGTGGATCGAGGAACAGGCTGTCATTGGCCTGATCCTGGATATTCTTTTACACTGGCGCAACACAGGGAAAAATGGGTGCTCAACCTTGCTGGCTCTGTTCAGTAGCATTTTGCCCTCAGTTTGTCAGGGTCAATGGGCACAGAGCAGGGAGAACCAGGCTGGGTGTGGGAATTTTTTCCTGGTGAGGCTCATCATTCAGTATTTAGCGCAAAATGAGGAGCAGAGCTTTGGGTCCTTGCTCGTGTCTCAGTTGTGGGGACACATGCTCCATCCCTGTCAGTGTCAGCCACTATTGCCCATCCATGTGGCCTGGGGTCTGCTTGGGAAACATCAATCCCTGTGGAGCTGCTGGGAGCTCCCAGTAACCCATCAGCAGAGTAAGGAACAGCTTGGTACCAAGGCCAGGCAGAGGTAGGGAGTGTTCAGGAGCAAATTGCCAAAACCTGTGGATTAAGACGTGTGCTGACAGCATGGCCAGCAGCAACGCCTGCTCCTCAGAGCCTCCTGCGGCACCGGCTTGGGGCAGGGCCAGGCTTGTGCAGCTATCACTGCTCCCTGCATCCGCACGTAACACCAGAGGCACGTGGGTTTCTGCCCAGAGCTTATTAAAGAGCCTTCTGGAATAATTATCCACATGCTATTTACTGCTTAAAGTAGGAACGTGCATGCCAAAGGCAGGTAAACAGATCATAGCTTTTCAGATTTGGTGCCTAGCTGGAGAAATGACTACCTAGGAACTGCTTTTTCTTTTCTTTGCCCATTCTCTGCAGCCACTGCCTTCCAAATTTGGGGTGTAAATTGTTTCAGTGATGCACTTCTGAACAGTGCTTGCCATTCTGCCCACAGAGGCGACCACCCAGCATCCATCATCTGGTTTAAATTTACCTTCAGAGAGTCAAAGGGCTATTGCTAAAGCAGCTCAATATACCCACTTAGCTCCTTCTGGCACCTCCAGCCTCCTCAAGGTTACAGCGAATTATTCA